CGGTGATGACTCGCAAATTACGTATATCATACCGATTACTCAAACCGCTAATTAGTGGTAGCCTTATATGTAGTAAGCAATTGCTGTTAGATTATAGATATCAAATAATAGGAAAACTCATTGATACATAACACTGTCTTCAATAGAAATAATAGATTTACATCATTCAAAAAGATAAATGAAACGAAAAACGTAATATAGGAAACGAAATATCAACAATGGAAAAAAGGGAACAGAAAGTATAATTTGAGAATTACAAACACTTAGCTATTTTGTCAATTACAAAGAATTACAGGAAAGAATGAGTAAGAATCCTGCATATTGAATTTAAGTGGGCACAGTATTACGACCAATATTGTTGGAATGAATTAGATATACGACTAAATAATTATTCCTTAATTATTTGACTGTAATAAAAAACGTAAGTATTTATAATTGAATCAGATATATACTTTTATGAAAACAAAAGCTATCCATATATTTTTAATTAAAGTAAGTTAAAACCTGAATAGCACAGTTAGATGTTTAGATATACGAGTGAGATGTTTAAAAACACTATTAAAGTGGTAATTATAGAATAATATGCAATAAATAAGTCAGAAATATAAGAATTATATTCAGAATGAAGGATTACTAGATTTCCTATTGTAGCACTTTTTTAACATTTATTCTAAAATCGCTTAATATGTTTCATCAAACAGGACTGATGTAAAGATAAATTACCAGTTGTATTCTTTTCATTTTACGCTTAAAAACGATGTTTCTTTTGTAGTGTTCATGTTCAATATTATAATAGGAATATATGACACTATCCTAATTAGGCGCTCATATGTTATTTTCTATTCTTCATTTCCACATAAGTCATAGCGATAAGTAGATACATTCGTATTAATGACATCTCACGAATTATACGAATAATTCGAATATGACATCTTGTATCGAACCTGTTGTTTGCACCATTAGTTTTTTATTACAAGAGAAATATACCAATTTGGCAAACCATGTGTTACTGAGTTAAAAATAACTAACACTATATAATACAGTACAAGTACTTCAGAAATTGTCTAAATGCTTCGATAATAATGAATATTAAGCGATGTATTTTGGGCTAAATCCTCATACTTATTATTTATTTCTCTAGCATACCACGTCCTATTTTTTCAGATTTAATAAGAATATTGCAACTTATCTTCATTTACCATTACTTTCATATGTTAATTCTTGGTGAATCATCATACAATATTAATTATTCGTCCTTACATATATTACTCTTGGTTTTTCGTTTCTCTCACTCATATTGATAATATGTTTTTCATTCTTCAATACATACCTGTGTACAACACACTTTGTTGTTGATTCATTACCTAGATATTTGTGTTTAACTCTCTTCTTCATATTGCCCTATATTGTTACTGATTGGGATGTATCATCCGTAACTTCATTCAGTACAAGTGGTATACATACATGTGATTCATTATGTCTAGACATTAGTAATGAATGGTTTATACATTTTGTAAAAACCAGAAAAGTGCTTAAACTCGACAACGCATCCAATTCATCAATTATTGTTTTGAATAGGGTTACTCGTAATAGAGAAGTATCACAAAACGAATTTTCTATTCAGTCAAAGCCAGTTATTTTACATCCACGAATCAAGCATTACTCGGAGATTCTCTGGTCATCAATCATACAAATGATCCGAAAGTCTATATTCCACCTTTCTATGATCATTCTTGGAACAAGATACACTCTTTTCCATGGAATGATTCGTACAATTATGATCATATTTGTAACAATGTATTAGAGCAAATTACTAAAAATGATACTTTCTATATTATGTCTGGTAGTTTCAATGGAGGTTTAGGACATAAATATTTAGCAGTATTTCATTCTATAACTTATGCAATTTTGTTAGGACGGCGATTTCTGCGTTTGATTTGAATAATGATATGATTTATAGTTCATTTACCCGAAAGCTTTTGGAAAGAAACCAACAGTTGTTTTCGCCAATTACGATACTATGGAGAATATGAGGGATTGGTTATTTGTCGTAAGAATGTTAAGTGTAATCACAAGCATATCACGAACAATCATAAGTTACCACAAGCAAATCTAGTAACAATTGATTTCCGCAACAATAAGCAACTAAATACAATAGAGAATCTAAATCTATAAAATCAGCTAGGTATTATTAAAACAACAAATTGGAGAGAATATCAAAATATAGAGGTTGTTATTAAATCCTTCACTAAAAGTACAAAACTCTATACAAAATGTACTACGTGATTTACCTTCCCAATGGTTTTCAGTGGCAGTTCATATTCGATGGGTTAGGGTTAGGGTTAACAAACAAACAAACAATTCATTGACCTGCAAAAAATCTTGAGCGGGCCGTTCACCGCCTGTTACGTCCGTACCTTCCGGCCTTGGACTTCTTCCCAGTAGCCGACCTCTTGGGTCTGCTTGCTATCCCTTTGCTCCAGATACCAAAAAGAGTAAGCCGATCATAGTAAGTGCTTTGCAAAAATCTTGCTAGTTCCTCACAACCAACCAACTCACTCCTCTCCCCAAAGAACTTCTCACAACCATTACCTGGTGCCTGAATTTCCTCACAGTCCTTCCTTCCTGTGTTCGGGACCCAATTATCCTTCCCATGGCTATCCGAACTATGATTCTCCCCAGACGAGGTACACACAGAGCCAAAACCATTTCTCATCGAACCCTTCACAATATCTCTCCAGTCTGAACAATAAATTCTTTGAATGACCCTCCGTCCCAAGGATCCTCTCGGAATAACACTGCAATCACCAAAGCCACGTAGCGAGCCCCTCACATCCACCGGGTCCTTACACAATAGACATGGGCGAAATCGGCTGTCCACAGCGATATGAGTAGAAACTTGACACGCGTCACCAGAATCCGCAGTCGAAAACGTCGAATTAGCAGTCGTCGAAGCAGTCGTAGAAACAGCGCGAGAACCTTCGTCGTTCTTGTCCGGAGTAATTCCAGTTATCGGTAAGCTCTTCCCAGTCGTCCGTAGGGTCTGACATTCCGTATCCTTCCTATCGATTAAAGGTATAATCTCGGGGGTCTGAGAATCCTCGTCATCCGTGGGTGACTGTCGGTGTGTCACCCCTTTCGATCCTTGTGCAACACGATCGTTGCGTAACTTGAAAGCCAGCAGAGACTCTATTGGCTCATTGTCTGAAGTAGATCTGTCGTTTGTCGACAATCCGTGGGTGTCTCTCCATGTCCTCTCCTGTACCAGTCGTAGACGCTTTCGGTTCGACGGGTCTAAGACAGTCCTCCTACTGTCAGTCCATCTTCATCTTGTCCTTGTTCCAGTCTTGTCCAAAGTCTTGTCCTTGTCCGAAGTCTTGTCTGAAGTCTTGTCCGCAGATAAATCCTTGTCCTTGTCTGAGCACTTGGTCGCGATCTTGAAAAACTCGTCGATTCCAGACTGTCTACTCTTCTTCCTACCCGGTACCTGTGGCAAAGAGGTCACCATAACCGGCGCCGAAAAGCTAGTTGGTGGGTGTGATAGCGACTCAACTAACTTCTCCCTTTTCGGTACGCTCCCAGGCGTCGAAACTCTCCCGCTCCCTACTTGATCTCCCCTTGCAGGTCCAAACTATGATCCGACTTTGTCCCTCCGCGTCTCGGACTTGTGTCCTTCTCTAGCGCTCGTGTCAACCTACTAGCTGCCTCGGAGTCGTTCGGACTATCGGGCAGAGGTAGGGCATCCCTCTTCACAGACTTCTTCTTCACTCCCTGTACTTCTGCTTTGTGGGTCGACACATCATCCAATCCGAGAACCATCCGGATCAGAGAAAGGCTCCACGTCATACTCCTCACCCAATGTGAGCCTCTCTCTGATCCTTCGGACCAAGGCCAATCTTTCTTTCATATATCTCCGGCATTTAAAGAGGAAGTGCTCTAGGGTCTCCTTCTCGCACTCTCCACAGCAAGGACACTTGCACCCTTCTGGCCCCTCTAGCTTAGGGTAGCGCGTCTCCACACAACACCAGCTCCCACAGCGCATTTCCAGGATTACCTGACACCCTCTAGCCAACTCCGGATGCCTGAACCACAAGTCCAGGTAGCGCCGGTTGATGGCTCGTCCTCTTGTCAAGTACGTCCTCAGAAACTGCGCATCGCTCTCCTGCAGCTGGCGTATCCAAAGGCGTGGAATCATCCTCCGTACCAGATCTCTGGCCGAAAAAGGATTTCCGTTTCGTGGCTCTCCACCCCACATCTCGAATGCCATCTGGACATGGCACTTCCGCCTCTCATCTAGCCACCGCGCCGGAACCTCCTTACCGCATGCCAGGTGATCATCGATGATCCCTCTACCTACCGTCTGCAGCACTTCCTGTGCTATCCTCTCCGTCGTCTTCAGGTAGGTGTTCTTCGTTGACCACCATTCCAGCCTACTATCTATGAGATCGCCCAACGTGCGACTCAACCACCTCCCCTTCCACATGCATCGCAATCGCTTTGACACCAGAATAGGATACACCGGAGGCATATCCAACTCCAGTTCCAACGATGGAATGCACGTGGAAAACTTCCCGGTGGCTTGTAGGATGTAATTGAGACCTCTGTTTAGCACTCTTTGTACACTCCTTGCCTCATCCTTGTTTCCGCCCCATACTTCTGCTCCATAGAGCCCAGAGGTCAGCACTACACTCTGAAGTACTTTGACTCTTAACTGTGCCGGAATTCTGTAGTTGCATAGGAATCGCTTTTGGCTACCTAGGACCATCTCCATCTTCCCAATTCTCGCATCCCTCATATCCGTCCTGTCCAGATTGGGGGTGATCTTCACTCCTAAGTAGGTATATTCCTCAACTACCGCTATCGGTTTTCCTTGGAGAATCCATTCTCTTCCTACATAGTTTGCGTTCTCCTCGGCAGTACCAAATAACATCACACCACATTTGGCATGCCCCACAGACATCTCCCATGTATTTGCCCACTCCGAGACATGATCCAGCAACTTCTGCAATCTGTCTGCCGTCCTCGCGAATACCACGATGTCATCCGCAAACATCAAACCCTCAACCTTGGGTTCCCAAGAGAATAGTCTCTTCTTCGGTTTAGGGAGGATATCGTTAATGAAGATCGAGAACAATATCGGAGATAGTGGACAGCCTTGACGTAGACCTCTCTCTAAGGGTACTTTCGGGGATCGCAATTGACCCACTCGTACGCTTATGTAAGATCGGTCTATACAGTAGCCGTTCGGATAAAGTTGTACGTTTTACCCGATATCCCGTAAGCTCGTAACTTATACAACAGTGCTTCATGGGGGACCGTATCGTACGCCTTCTTAAAATCGATAAAGCATGCAAATGCCTGCAACTCGTCTTCCGGCAGCCTTATCCGATTTTTCACCGCTCGCGCTTCGATAGTCCATCGTTGTATAATCTCGATCAAAGCTCCGACCTGCCCTACACACTCCTGTTCTGGGCGGAAACCCGCCTGGGCATCCGACAGGAAGTGCTCCTTCTCAAAGACGGAGCTGATACGACAAGCTATCACTGCCGCCACGATCTTCACGCACACAGGCATCAAACTGATACCTCTGTAATTGTTCATGTCCGTCAAATCTCCCTTTTTCGGTACCGAAACTACCGTAGAAGTCATCAAGTCCTCTGGTATGTTCCCATGGAAGATGGCATTCAGTACTCTCAGCAATATGTACGCTAATCCTCGATCTCCTCGAGGCCACTTATTTCGCGTTATTGCCTTGTACACTTCTCCTGGAATACCATCTATACCCGAGGCCTTCCCGTTTGCCATCGTCTTCACTACTTCTCGAACCTCCTTCCAGGATATGTCTTTGTTCCAGTACTCTTCGCTCCCGCACATACCCTGGTTTTGAGGCTTGTTCACCTCAAACTTCTCCCAGTATCCGAGATCCTTGCTATGGCCATTTCCCTTTGACCCTAGCTTCCTGTAGTGTTCAGCCCATAAGTCAGCCACTTCGTGCTCATCGGTACACA